CTCCTTCATTTTTTTTCTAATTTTTCTCTTTTGGCCTGTATATTTTCTCCCAACTAATTTCCGTCTCTTTCTCAAGGACACTAACTTCAGAGTCCAACCATGCACGTGTTCACCAGGGAACAAGGAAACATTTTTTTTAATAAGTAAGGGAGTACATCTATATGAACTCATGGTTTTTAATAGTTATACAGATAGATTGATATAAAAATAAATACACATATATATGTGTGTGTGTGTGTGTGTTTGGGTATATGACTACTCATGAATATATTTCCCAGTTCTGTCTACTGAGAGAGCCTCAGATGAGTATCATCCCAGTGGCAATGAACACATCTAGTACCTAGATGTCAGTTTGTAAGAACCATTACAAAATGAAACTAACCAGGCTTCCTTGGAGAAATGGCTGACTGCAAAATTGGAACAGAGAAAATACGAGATATGCCCAGAGAGTTCTGCAGTGTTAGAAGGTAAGGAAGGATTCAAAAATAATTGGGGCATGTCAAAAAGGACCAGATGCCAATCTAAAGGAGCTCCCGATGACGAAACCCGGGACAGTTTGAGCAAGAAAATAAATAATGATGGTAGCAAATTGTAACTCATGGAATAAAGCACGTGTTCCTCAACCCACACTGATAGAAATGAGTAACTGAGTGAATAAATAAATAAGTGAAGGAGAATTCTACAATAGACTGCTAATTAATAAATACAGAAGGAAAGGACTGATGGAAATCAACATCGCCATTAGGTAAAAACACCATGTAATAAGTTTTGCAGGCAAGAATCCCCAATAGATCCTGAAGTGTGTGATGAGAAACAGAATATCTGCACGGTCTCAAAGTATTTCTCCTCCAAGAAATATGCAGTAATTGTACGGTGGAGCCCCCTGGCAGGAATCACCTTAATCCAGCAACCAAAGTTAGTATCACCAGTAATGGGACATATTGACATCAGGTACATCCTAATATGTTGCACTGAGAAGAATGTATCATTTTTGTCCTATCGTTATGAGAAATATGTAGACTCAATCTAATAAGAAAACATCAGACCCAAATTGAAAGACGTTCTACAAAAATACTGGCTAGTAGTCTCCAAAAGGGTCAAGGTACAGGAGATAGACTGAGAACCTGGTATGGATTAAAGAAACTAAGAAAACAGGACTAGATGCCCTATGGAATCCTGGATTGGATCCCAGGATAGAAAAAAGACTTTCCTGGACAACTAGCAAAATTCCAATAAGGTCTATAGATTTGTTAGTTTTCTATCGGTGTTCATTTCCTGGCTACAGTTTACTACAGTTGGGTAAGATGTTAATAGTAGGGAAACTGGGTGACAGATAGATGAGGACTCTACTATTTTGCAACTTTTCTGTATAGATAAAATTATTTTTAAAATAAAAAGTTGAAAAAAAGAAATAGGTCATGCAGTTTATCACTGGGTTACTCTCTGGTAGGTGAGGAAACCCAGAGCCTTGAGGCTGAAAGTTCAGAATAATTCTCCAACACCTAATGGCTAATGTTTAAAATCTGTAGTGTGTTGGTTTGTTTTTTTTTAATCCCCCTCATTTAGTGTCATCTAACTCTGGGTTTGTTTTGTTTTGTTTTTTGTCTTTTTTTGTTTGTCTTTTGTCTTTTTAGTTATCCGGAAGAAGCAACTTTTTTGTTGTTCATTCGGCAAAGGAAATTGCCCTTATCTAATCTTTAGCTAGATAGATTGCTAAACCCAGAGAAAGTGCCAGATGAGGCTCTAAACAGTGGGATTCTTGCTCCTTGCTGCTCTGATTCTCCAAGCTGCCTTTAAAGCTGCAAGCTGTTTAATCGAAAACCATTTACTAGTAGGTTCCTGTAAATCTAATGGGCAGCTTTAGACGTGCTCTACAGTGGTTTGAAAATGAAAAGTCAAGGATCATACACAATGTATGAAATGCACATAGGATTCAGCATGCAAACTGACTTAATCTATTAGCCACATATTCAAGGCATATAAGTAAGTTTTTCCTGAGTAAATACAACACAAAAGAACAGAACCAGGCTATGGGAAAGCTATTCAGGTGGGAACTCAGAGCTTGGGTTCAAGTTCTGATCCCGTCACTAATTATATAGCGTCTATGAAAACAAGTCTTAAATAGGGATAGGGACACCAGTTTATTAGGTGTGCTGAACCCAGTGGGGTGCCCTCAGCTCTCGGTTTTATTTTTCTTCTTACCCTCCTCTCACATGGTTGGTTGGAATTCTGTTCGTTGCCTCGTGACAACGTTTTGGGCAGATGTCATGGCTTCTTCCATTGTTGGTCATAAGAGTCTCATTTTCGGGTAATAAAAGTTCTCCCCATCTGAAACACAACGTAAGCCTGACCTTTACTTCACTGCCCTTCCATTCATCTGCCTCCAAGCCCCTCCCTGCCTCCACCCACAAACACCCCCACTAAGGCTGAGTTCAGCCTTTGTTCGAGAACCTGCACCGGGAAAGTGAGCTGTGGTTGCTTCCTTCCTTCCGTCTCCATCTTGTCGATTCGATTCGGCCTTCACACTCACCCTTCCCCTTGTGAATCAGCGGGGCATTTTGCACTCAAGAGCTCTGGGAGGCCTCAGTCATGTCCCGCTCTGACAGATGATGAGTAGAGCAGACCCTCTTAATGGTTGGAGGGCTGATGGCACTGATCGGAAAGTCTGTGAGCCTGGGGAGCACCTCGCCCCCCTCCACCCCTATGAGTGTCACCTAGCCTGACTGCCTGCTGGCCCAGTCTCACACACCCTTCCCGGCACCACGGCTCCCTGGGCCCTGCTCTGCACAGCCTCCACTTGGCTGCTGCAGCATTCCTGCTAGGTCAGTCTTGGAAGTAAGTGCCTGAGAACCCCAAGGAGGCATATACAGGCCTCATCCCGGCCGCTCAAGGTGTCTCGAGGCCGCCTGGCATGTTGTAACTGCTCAAGAATATGTAGGAGAAGGAACATTTTCTGGAATTCTCTGGAGGATGCTGGGGTAAGCAGTTTTTCTGGTTTAGAGTGAGCCACACCTCTCACTATTTCTTGAGCACCTATCACGTGCCGGGCTTTGTTTGTGGCTCTGAGATACAGAAGTTAATGGAACAGTGAAACTTGTCTGCCCTCCATGGTGACTACCTTCTAGTTTGGGGGGCAGATCATCAACAAGTGAATGGATGAGTATATAACATAAAACGTAAAGTGACAAATAGGTATCATATGGCCCCTGATATGATATATTGAGAAGGTCATAGCATCACTTTTATGATATTTCTGCCTAAAATGCATAGTCTAAATCTTTGAAGACACATCAGACAAGCCGAGGTTGAAGGACATTCTGCAAGACAGAGACATTCTTCAAGCTCTGATCTATCTAAAATAGAGCTGTCACGGGGTTCGTGGGTGGCTCAGTCGCTTAAGCATCTGACTTTGGCTCAGGTCATGATCTCACGATTCATGAGTTTGAGCCCCACATCGGGCTCTGTGCTGACAGCTCGGAGCCCAGAGCCTGCTTTGGATTCTGTGTCTCCCTCTCTCTCTCTGCCCCTCCCCAGCTTGCGCGCTCTCTCTCTCTCTCCCTCTCTCTCTCTCTCTCTCTCAAAAATAAATAAAACATTTCAAAATTAAGTAAAATAAAATAGGGCTGTCCCAAAGACAAAAGCTGAGCCACTATTCCAAATTAAATGAGACTTCACTGCACTTATCATGGCGAGCACTCAGCAATGTATATAGAACTGTTGAATCGCTATGTTGTACACCTGAAATTCATAGAACATTGTACGACAACTGTCCTTCAATTAAAAAGAAAATACAGGAAAACTCAAAGCGGTGAGTAATCTTAGATTAGATCCTCAAGGGTTGTCAGAATTTGAATATGACTTGCCTAAGAGATAATAGTATCTCATCAGCGTTAATTTATCGCATCGCGTTTACGTAACACAATGCGTATCTTTGTTCTTGGCGGAGACATACTGGAGTATTTAGGGATAGAGGGTCACGGCATCTGCAGCTCATTCTGAAATAGTTCACTGATGAAAACAATAGCAAGGATGACAGCGATCAAAACAATACCTGTTACTGAGGGAGAATAATAAGAGGCAAATATTGCAAACATCCATAATTGGCGAAGCTGAGTGTAGGGCGTGAGCAGCATTCGTGGAACTATTCTTGCCAGTTTTGTGTGGGTTTCAAGATTTTCAGAACAAAAAGCTTAACTAAAGTAGCAATAAGCATTCTGAAGAGGGTCAGTGCGGGGGCAGAGCCTGGGGTTCAAGGAAAGTCTCTTGTGAAATGACCTTCGTGCAGAGAGCTGGTGGAGGGGAGGAGTCAGCTAACCGTGCGGACCAAAGAGCGTTGCAGGAAGAGAGAACATGAGCAGAGGCCCCGATGTGACCATGCTCCTGGTGCCTTTGGGTACCAGCACAGAGACTGGGGGCCCCCGGGGCAGAGTAATGGATGAAGGACGGCGGTCAGAGCGGTCACAAGTCCGATCACCTCGGGCCTGAGAGGCCCCCGAAAGGACGTGAGCTGCGTTTTCGGCGCGATGAGACACTCGGGCCAGGTTCGGAGCCGGGGCGTCCAGCGGCCTGACTTCCATCTGACAGTCACTTCGGTCCACTTTGCAGGAAGGAGAGGACGAGGGGGCGAGCACATCGGTTGCAGCTGATGTATTTTCCCGGGTGGCCCCGAGGAAGCCGTTGTGTGGGTGAGACGGGATGTCAGGCTGGACCGGGAGAAGGGCGGAGGCAGTGACGTGAAGGGAGTGGATTCTGCACGTGTCCTGACAGTCTCGTTGGCTAACGGACCGGATACGAAGTGTGAGGGGGAAGCTGGAGTCGAGGGCAGTTCTGAGGTCGGAGGCCTGATAAATTCGATAAAGTGGCATGCCGTTGACTGACTGGGGGCCTGGAAAGGGAGGGAAACCGGCTAGGGGACTGCTTCCTGGGCCCTCCAGCGCACAAGGCCACCGGGTCAGGGCCTGTCTCCATGGGAACCCGACTCTCCCGTATGTTCCGCCAAGATGCCGCCAAGAAGCCTTGGTTCCACCAAGAAGCCTTGGTTCCCGGTGCCTTCTCCATACAGCAAGGGAGAGGGAAGCAGAGCAGACCGCTGCTCCCGTGGCCTGCACCCACCCCGGCGGCATCCACCCGCAGGGGGTGGTCTGGGAGTGACAGGGCCCATTTTAGAACCACAGCTCCCTTTTTCTCTCTGCCTGTCCATGAAGGCCGACATATATACTGTAGAAGGTGCTCCCTCCCCCTGCAGGTCGTTGGGTCATCTTACGGCCATCTCCTGGTTTTCGGGGTTTAGCCCCCTCATCGGGCTCGCCCGACCACCATCGCAGCTCTTCAGCCTCGCGTGTGTGCCCTCGCCTCTCTTGCCCCCTTTGAATGTGAGGAGGAGAACTTTCCCGTTGGTTTCAGGGCTCGAGGTCAACAGGCACACACTCATCTGTCTCCTTCCGTTCCACCCCCTCACGCCGCAGACTGGCCGGACGCACCCCTGTGCCCGTTCTGGATCCTTGGGCCCAGCTCCTGCCTAAGCCGGGCAGGCAACCCTCCCCAACCCCTGGAAGAGAAGCCTGCACAAGTGGGTTGTAAAGGGGGAGACCAAAGCCATAACGCAGCGGGAGAGGGTCAGAGTTGGCGTGGCTTGGAGAGAAGCGGGAATACAAGAGACGTTTGCACAGGAAAAGGGATTAGCCTTGGGTACTGGCAGAAAATGGCGTTCAAGATCAGGGATGAGAAAAACTCAAAGAATTCTTCCAGGAGATTCTAACAGGCCAAAATATCGAAAGGATGAGTCTACTTTAATGTTCTCACTACCAAACGGGGACAGCTCCGACACGTAAGGCAGGAAGTCGTGCATTCACGTATTCAACACAGAATGCCCGTCCCCATCCCCAAACCCACACCTGTGGGCTGGCGATACGAGAAGGAAGAGAACAGCTCTTGAGCGCAGTGTATAGACTGGAAGTATGCAGAGGGTTAATCGTGGTGGCGTCCTATTCCTACAGGGATGGCGAGACGCCGGGAGCTGCACAGAAATGGAGAAGTCAGGGGAGACTTGGGACAGGGCGTGGGAAGCGACATCGGAGTTGCAACTTAGATAATGGACAGAAGGTCTCCAGGGACGTGTGTGAGGAAGGACAGGCGCCGGCAAAACGGCATGGCCAAGCCAAGCCACCCAGGCCTCCATTCTTCTTGTAGAGACGCCAGTCAGACTGGATTAGGGCCCACCCTAAAGGCCTCGCTTTAGCTGAATCGCCGATTTATAGGCCCTGCCTCTCGGGTGCCTGGGTGGCTCAGGTGGTTGAGCATCCGACTCTTGATTTCAGCTCAGGTCATTACCTCACAGGTCACTGGTTCGAGCCTCGCATCAGGCTCTGTAATGTCAGCGTGGAGCCTGCTTGAGATTCTCTCTCTTTCCCTCTCGCTGCCCCTCCCACTCATGCTCGCTCTTTCTCCCTCTCTCCCTCCTACCCCCAAAATAAATAAAAATTTTAAAAACCCTTTAAGTAGAAAGAAAGAAAGAAAGAAAGAAAGAAAGAAAGAAAGAAAGAAAGAAAGGCCCTGTCTCCAAATATAGTCACATGCTGAGGTTTCGAGGGTTAGGGCTCGAAATACATATTTCTACATATATTCTGTCTGTTAATATATATATTAATTTGGGCTTCTATATATTAATTTGGGGAACACAATTCAGCCCGTAATAAGTCCCTACCATTTGCAAGGCACTGTGGGAGGTGGTGTTAATAAATGAGGCCCAGCATAATCAAGTGTAAATACTTTTGTTCCTTCGTCCGTCACTTCATCAGTAGAACCGTTTAATGTATGAATCAGAATCAAGAACGATCCCCATTCTAAACTCATTTGCCCCTGAAAAAAAAACAGTTTTTCCATCTTTTAGAAGTCACTTTTCCATTTTCTCTGTGTTCATTGGCCTTCCTGGGGCCCAGCCCTCTCTCTGCTCGTGGGAATAAAAACCATGATGTGGTCCCTGGGGCTGTATCCCTCCTCGGAAGCTGTCACAACGGTGACAGCAGCAGCAGAGAGGGGACTGGCCACGGCATCAGAGGGCCCAGTGTGACTCCCACTTGCTGGGCCATGTGGTTCAGGACCAGGACTCTCAGTCCCAGCCTCCTGGTCAGGCAGGCCCTCTCCCTGGCGGGATTCCGGGGCTCGGGAGTTTACTCCCAAATGGGCCCACGGGTTCCACCCTAATCCAGGCGCTGGTGCCTCATGCCCATATCCTCCCTGAAAAAGGACCCCCTCGCCAAAGTGTGGGTGAGAAATGAAGACTTCCGAAGATTCCGAGAAGAAGAACGAGGAGGTTTATAATGCATACCCTCTCCAGTAGCTGTCTGACTCCAGAAGCCATACCACCTCTGAATTTATTTTCTCATTGCCTTTTCCCCGCACGCCTCCCGCATGGCAGCCTGCCCCCTCCACCCAGCTCACCTCTGATGTACGTCGTAGTGCAGCTCAGTCCCTCACACTGTAAATCTCAGCCTCCTAAGGGCTTCCCAGAACACAGTGGCATCTCATTACTGTTATTATTATTGAGTTCGGTCTTTGAGGTACCATCTTCCCTTGCCTCTGTCTTCTCAAAAAGTATTTCTTCTGAGCACATGTAATACTCTCTCCCAAGCGGAATCTTGACCCACCCCTGAAGGTGATGGAACGGCCCCGGGATTGTGAAATTGGCATCCACACGACAGGGAAGGATAAAAGCCGTGCTCCCCACCTCATGCCAACCAGAAAGGGCAGTGGTGTTCGGGGGATTTTGAGACGCTGAGCGTTAGGACGTGGCCCCTGAGTGCCAGGGTTATGCCACGGGTTTTAGATGCTCCTGGTACTTAATCCTGCATAGGCAGACATACCTGCAAGGCAAGTGTTCTTATCCCCATTCTGCGGATGGGGAAGCCGAGACTCAGAGAAGTTAAGTAACTTCCGTGTGCTCACGCTGCTGGAGACCCACAGGCTTAGAAGGGCAGAGCCTTGAGTGCGTCCTCCTCGGCTTCGGAATCATCCTCCGTCCCTGCACATAAGACGGTCCTTAAAACCGTTCGTCTCCTCCGCATTAAGCACATCCTCTTCTGTGGGCCTTGGGAATGTCACTTCACATCTTGTGTCTCGTTTGTTCACCTGTCACTTGGGGGTGATAGTTGCCCTGCTCAATTCACAGGGCTGTTTCGTGGAAAGGTACGTCAGATAAAAAGTAGGTTGTGTGTGTGTGTGTGTGTGTGTGCGTGTGTGTGTGCGCGTATCGCTATACCAAAAGAGTGAGGTATCAATTATTACCTCGATGTTTGCCATGAAACAAGATCTAACCGACTCACTGTTGGTGAGGACTGTTCTCAGGACAGAACCAAGAAAACCCCAAACAAAACTTCCACCACCTTTAGGACTTTCAGAAAGGAAGATGCTGGTATCTCGGGAAATTGATGACCTTCAATTTCTCCGGCAAAGAGGAACAGGTGAGGAGTAGGCAGAAGCTGCCTGCGACCACAGCCTTCCTGTTCTAGCCGCCGTGGACCTGGGAGCCACGGAGAAACACCTTTGGAGGAGACACGGCAGCTAGCCTGACGGCCAGAGGGAGCGGCTTCCCAACCTGTCCGTCCCCGGGGTGTGCCTCTGAGACGCCCAGGTCCTACCCCGGCTTGGCGTTCAGAGCCGGTTTCTTCCTCCGGAACACCTGCCGTGGGTCTCTGCGGCTTACCATCCTCTACATTCCTTCCACCTGGCTGCTGTCCTCGCCTGGGACACCTCCCCACACGCACCCATACGCGTGGCCTTCATCACCGTTGCTTCCCACTCTTGCCAGCACGCCTGGAGGACCCGTCGGGCCAGCTTCTCGGGAAGGGTGTGCCACACACCTGGTATGTTTGGAGTCCGGTTGTGGGCACCGCTTAAATCCCGTGGGGACCCCGGCGCACCTGCTCGCGACGCACTGGCTCCTGCTTCCGCATCCAGGTCTCCAGTCTGGCTACGTAACTCTTGCTGTTCATTCAGTCCATCCATCAGCCTGCCTGGCCGTCATTTAACAAACGTGTAGGGGCTGAGAGCTGGGACTCTGAAGTCAGCCCGTCCTGGACGCTAATCCTGACTCTGCCACACTTTCTGGGTGTTTGGGGGCACGTTATGCCACGTTATTTCAGGGTTAGCACGAACATCAAAAGGTGACTTACATACACCCTCAGGGCAGAGTCTGGTGCATAAGAGGAGCTGGATAACTATTTGCCGGGGGTAATGAATGTCATTACTACGTGCCAGGCATGTGTCGGAAGTAGCCTGATGGTCTGGAGAGGAGCCCAGAGCGGACGGCAGGAAGGACGGTGAGATGTCTCCACTCTGCACACTTGGGTCACGCAGGAGAGAAAGTCCCTGTCCACCTGCTGGGAGGGTCAGGCAGGAAGCCAGAGAAAAGCCTTCAAGGACAATGAGGCATTTTCCAGGTAGGCTGGAGTGCCATTTCCGGGCAGAATACAGGCATTGAAGGCTTATGCATCACTGAAAATTTGGGGGCTTCTCTTACTGTGTCTGTGCGCCTGGGATAGTGGAGGGGTGACTAGAGTATGCCGGGCAGATGTATGTATACAAGGGTCTTGTATCACACAGTGAGAAGCCTGGGTATATAACCTACAGGTGAATGGGGCAGGGGGGCACTTACACGGTTCAGTTGTGTGTCTGAAAGTCAATTCACCCTTTACGGTTTGAAAGAATGTCTCCGGACTATTCCAGACACCATTGAAAGCTCCCTTTTCTGACATACCAGAATAGGCCATGATGAAAACACTCTACTTATCACTTGATAATATAATTTAGGGTCTTGTGTCACCCTTGGACCGTCTTAAGCATTGCTACTCATCTCCAGAGTTAGATCTTAGACTTCCTATAAGTGGAGACCGTTCAAAGTCTTTTGTATTCCTTCACCGCGCTGACTTGCCAGAGCAGGAGGGGAACTCAGCAACCACCAAGCCCTTCCTGTCTCTTTACTGGATAGATTCCAAGCTAAGGAGCTTGAGGGCCTGCCCAAGCCACACCGCTCATTGATGGGCCTTCAACCGATCACACTCGGTAACCGTTGCTTTGCCGACATACTCACAAACAGCCAGTTCTTGCTGGTTTTGACCAAGCCAGGTAGATGTGAAAGGACTATTAACTGACTTTGAAGTCACATCCAAACTGAAGCCAATCAGGACCTGGAATAGATTGTGTTTGTCTTAAAAGAAATCGGGCTTCGGGGCATCTGGGTGGCTCCGTCAGTGAAGCGTCTCTTGAGCGCGGCTCAGGTCGTGATCTCACAGTTGGTGAGTTCGAGCCCCATGCTGGGCTCTGTGCTGAGCGTGGAGTCTGCTTAGGATTCTCTCTCTCTCTCCCTCTCTCTGTTCCTCCCTGCTTGTGCCTGAGCACTCTCTCTTCGTCTCTCTCTCTCTCTCTCTCTCTCTCTCTCTCAAAATAAATAAATATTTTTAAAAAAGAAATCAGGCCACGAATGGGTCAGATGTTGGTGAGATTGCCTCAGTAATCCACATGGATGATCGTACCATTCCAGCTGGCACCAGGAAGCTGGGGCACGCCAAACAGAGGATTTTTTTACCGGGAGGACGTCAAGGGTGGAAAACCTTACGAAAGTCCATTTGACCGAAGGGGCTCTGGAGTTGAGAGAGCTCTGGATATGGATCTTCATTCCACAGCTGACAGCCATTTCCCGTTAAGGTCCCCCAAAGACATTGTGCAAGCCAACCCCTAGCCCTCATGTGACTTATTGGATAAGCTTCGTTCTTCTCTTTTCCTCTTGAATCGTTTTATTCCCGGAGCTTCTAAAACCTCCCTCTCTTTCTTTGCCAGTGTCTCCTTCTCAGCTGCCTTTGTTTTCCCTCAATCTTCTTGACCTTGTAATATTTCCCTCATCTTCTTGACCTCCAGGTCTCCTTCCTCGGAGCACTTCTCTTCAGCGTCGCACTAACCGCAGTGATCTCATCAAGTCTCTTGGTTGTGAGTACTGCCTACGTGCTCATGACTTGCACATGTATTTCCCCAGCTCAGACCTTTCGCCTGAATCCAGGGGTCACATATCCAGCTCCACGTGAAATTCCACATAAGCACGTCAAACTCTCACTTTCCCCAACACAACTCTGCCTCCCACTCCACTTGCCCACACAAACTTGCTTCTTCTCTAGGGCTCTTTATTTGAAAAAATAGTCCCTCCATTTGACCACTTGCTCAAGCCCCAAACCTTGAAATCGTTCTTGAGCCCCCTCGTTCCTTCACACTCCACGTCTAATCCTTAAGCAGGCCCAGTTGGTCCTACCTTCCAGATATACCCCAAATTCAACCATGTTGTACTGTAACTCTGCTAAGCCAAGCCAAAAGTAATTCTCCCAGGATAATTGGAAGAGTTTCTAACTGGTCTCCCAGCTTCCATCTTGGCCTCCTATAGTCTGTTTTCTACACAGCAGCCAGAGTAACCCTTTGGAAATTCAAGCCAGACCTTGTCACTTCCCTGCTCATAATATCACCCTCAGGATACGTTCCAAGGCCCTTGCCCTGGCCTGCCAGGCCTAGCATGAAGCTGACCCTTGACCTCTCTGCCCTTTTTCTCTTTCCACCTGCTGCCCCAGACACACTGACTTCCTGGTATTCCTCAAACAACCACCTTGTCAGGGCCTTTGCCCTTGGTTTCCCCCGCTACCCAGAATGCTCTTCTCCACAGTACCTCATGACTTCACTTCTTATGTGCCTCTGCTCCAGTGTCACCAGTCAGAGAAGCCTTCCTTGTCACCTCCTAAAGCCTGGCTCCACTTCTGTTTCCTTCATGGCTCTTATCCTTACCCAAATGCTATTATATACATCTCTGATTATTTATTTACTTTCTATTTCTACCCACTAGACCTTAAACCCTTAAGGGAAAGGATTTTCCTTTTTTACGGTGCTGTGTCTGCAAAACCAAGGTCAGGGCCGGGCTCATAGTAGTGACACAATAAATATTCCTTGAATGAATTATTGAATCAGTGAATGATCTCTTACTCATCACGTCACGAGGATAATAACATGAATTAAAGTATATAGAGAAGTTTCTAGCAAATGGAAAAGCACTCAAGAGTATCTGTTCCTTCAACCATTATTATTATAAAAGGAGCCGGGCTGTGGCAGTGGGGCATGGAAGCTAATCATTTTGTGATGCCTGCTATTATCAGGGTTTGCTTCTATTTCTGCATTGTATATATTCCCATCTGGCTTCTCCTCTTGGGAATAGTTGGAGAAAGTGTGTTCCTTTGAGCTCACTGCTCAGACTTTGTTTAACTTGCAGGCATTTCTTTTAAGCTGTCCACTTGAAAAAGAGCTGTCACATTGGCTTCTGAGGCAAATTCTCCAGTTCCACAAGCAGGCAGGCTCTGAAAAGTCTGACACAATTTCCAGCCGCGTCCCCCAGGACAAGGAAAATGCTACAGGTGTCTCGGCATCATGCTAACCTTCCAGGGAACACAGAATACTGTATTTGGAAGGTTCTGGGGGCAGAAATAAAGCACATGAGCACAGGAGGGAGACCAGACCGGACGTACATAAGCAACACCCCATCACCTTCCCTGTCCTAGCAGGGAAGAGACGCACGGTCTGTTAGAGAAGCCTTAAAGGGGAGTCTGATGCTCCCTTTGATAAAAAGGCATCCCCCCCCCCCTTACTACTTCTGAAAAATTGGAAAGACATAAAATAAAGGAAATAGCTCCCAAAAATGTACATTTGCTTTTTTGCTTCACCCCCCTTCCCATTCTAAAGGTACACCAAGAGTAGTTCCATCCCCCCTGGGGGTGAGGGGTAACTCTCCCTCATCCCGCCTCCATCACCTGTCAATCACTGGCAGTGCAAAGAGGGTGGGTTTAGAGGCAGGTAAATTTCATTCTGAACCTTGGTCTTGACTCACGTGAGCTGTGTGACCTCGGGCAAATCCCTTAACCTCCCTGGGCCATTTCTCCAGGGGGAGAACAGCAGTGCCTTCTGGATGATTGGGAAGATAAAGAAGGGGCGCCTGGTGAAGCCCTCCGGGTAGGTGCCATTATTATCATCAGAATGGGTGCTATTGTTCTGTTTTGGAGACTAGAGTAGCCCATTTATTGAACCATCAGAACTCCATGGGGGGCAGGGGGAGGGGAGACAGAAAAATACTTTATTTTTCTATGTGATGATATTTAGTCTGATAAACCACCCTCGCCCTAGGTTGCCACAGCCCATAAAAAATCTTGGCAGATTCCTTAACTTCCTGGTCACTTGAATTTAATAAAACTCTGTCTAAAATAAAACTCTCATCCCATCTATTTAATCCCTCCTTCCTCCAGCACCCGCCCAGTTCCTAGCTGGAAGGAACGGAAGTGAGGAAGGTCCGTTCTGCTCCTTTATGGTTTCCCGGTCCCCACCTTGGTGTGGCTGTTTCAGCGAGTGCTTTTCATGCCCCGTGTCACTTAGTTTTGCTAGATAGGGAAGGTCCTCTTCACAATAAATGCAGGGCTCCCAAGGACGCGTGGCCCTGCTCCCCTGTATCAGTCAGGATGGGCCAGGTTATGGTACGAGAACAAACAACTCCCAAAGAACTCGTGAGCTTCTCCTCCTCCTCCTTTGATGTTTCTAGCTCCTCTGGTGGGTTTGGGCTGTAGAGAAAAGGGCCCACTGTCTCTGACCTTTTAATGTAGGGTGTTGCTGCTTCTCTGGCCAGAACTTTCTGGCTAATGATGCCTCATTGCTGGCCTTAGTGGGGCTCCGCTAGAGGGCCCTGCAGGCCTCTTCCCTGGATGGCTCCCTGGCTTCACACAGCCACAACCAACATCTCCTGGGCAAGGAATGACAATCCCACCACATTCCAGGAAGGTGGGAAGAAGCAACGTATTGCCTTCTACACACAATAGACACCCAACCTAATGATTTCAAACACCAGTCATCTCTTTAGTTGATGGTTCTGTGGGTTGGCGATTTGGATGGGACTCAGCTCGACGGTTCTTCTGGTCTCATCTAGACTCTTTATTCCACGCAGGGAAACAGGGTGGCTGTGCTTCAGGGGTCTTACTCATGTGATGGGAAGTGACGGGACTGTGTGCCCGTCATCATCCTTCAGGCGGCACTGGCTTGGCTCCTATGGCAGTTTGGTTTCCAAGAGGGAGGACAGAGCATGCCAGGCAGCTTGAGGTCTGGGCTCGGAACTGGCTCAGAACTGCTTCTGCCACCTTCTCTTGGTCAAATTCCCCAGACCAACAAGATCCAAGGAGTGAGGAGATACGCTACCTTGGACTGGTGGGTCTGCAAAATCACATTGCAGAGGTGAATGGGGAAGGGGAAGGGTAGAAAATTGGGGCGTTTTTGCAGTCTACCCCAAGCACCGAAGACCACATCTTCCTGATCTTCTATGGAAGAGGTTGGAGGGGAGATGCAGAGGTGACTAGGTTTAGCATGGGCTTATCGACTCATCTTGGGGGGGTTGACCACACTTGCAGGGGCCTTATTAGACGAGTGTGCTTTACCACCTTTTTATCTGCAGCTTTGGGTCAAAGACATTAATTCCAGGCGACAGGCAGAGTCCCCATGGATATTCAATTACGAAAGGAAACTACCTTCTGGGTAAAGTGACCTCTCGCAGACCACACAGCCACTAAGCGCTCCGTTCCTCTTATTTGGGCGAAAGGGAAACATATGCACAAAAGGGACAGTGAGGAGAAAGCATAGTAAATATCACGGACTTCTAAAAGGCCACCGTGGCTGCCATGGACAGAGCAAGGTACACGCTGGTGCAAGCTGTCACGGGGACCCAGAATCTGCCAGTCCCTGGAGCCCATGACAAGGAGCGTCTCTTTAGATTTAAGAACAAACGAGACTTCATGAAGTTTCAAGAAACTTCACGAAGACCCCCAGGCTCACATGCTCACATCTGTGTTTCCAAAAGGCCCTTCTGGCTCCAATGTGAAGGCTAGAGTGGTGGTACAGACCGGACCAAAGCCAGACCTTTCAGAAATTAAGGCTTTGCCAAACCCACGTTTTAACCCTTCGTAATTCCAATTCCGAGGGCAAAGGAAAAACGATCCTGTTTGCCATGGCCAAACCCCAGCAGCAAAGCGGGAGAAGAGCAGAGAAGGTCAGATAGATAATCCCACGCACACGCCCACGCCCAGATTACCCGTCTGTACGCTTCAGACCCACGCAGGCTTGAGAGTTTCTAGTTCGTGTTCCGTGGATACTTTGGCCACGTGGATTCCCAGTCACGCAGCGGCCTCTCTTGCTCTGCTGTGTATAGAGATGGGTGGCTGCTAAGTGACCATAAGAGAGAACATCTAGCAGAGGTCCTGGCATCGCAGACGCGGCCACCGAGCCCAGAAGGTCGAACGGGTTCCAGGGATTCAAATTCAGAAGGCGGGTGGTGTCAAAAGTCCAGCGTCACGGGACATTCTGATGGCACGCCGGTAGGACCGCCAGGAGCAGGGGCAGAAGCACAGGCGTCGTGCGTGCTCTTTGGGTCTTCTGGCTCGGGAGGGGGCGGGGAGAGAGCAGGCCAACTCCCTCCAGGCCCTGACCTCGCCCCACCCACGCGGGGACACGCGTGAGCCTCCTTGGGTCCGAGGGTGTCCCGGGGTGGGGTGGGGGGGGAATGACACAAGCGTCTGCAGTCGACCTCACCCCCACAGCCCGAGTCTGCATGATCGATCGTAAGAGCGTGTTCTGTCATTGCATTGCAGCTCCAGAAACTAAAACGATCACTTTCTTTCAAGACCAAGAGTTTACGGAGCAAAAGCGCCGACAACTTCTTCCAGCGAACCAACAGCGACGTGAAGCTGCAGGCGGACATGCTGGCCGAGGTCAGCCCCAGCTCCAGCCCGCTCCCTGCGCCCGGAAGCCTGACGTCCACACCCACCAGGGCCGCCCTGCACCCCGGGGCTGGCGGCAAGGCCCACGCCTTTCAGGAGCACATCTTCAAGAAGCCCACCTTCTGCGATGTGTGCAACCACATGATCGTGGGTAAGGCCTCCCCCACCCCCACCTCCAGGTCCCCGCGCCCGCCGGACAGGCCGGTGAGAGCGGTGCGGCCCGGGTCCGGGTTCCAGGACGGGTTCCGAGCCCCAGAGGCGTGCACGAGGGCAGGTTGTTTGGGGGATCGATAGCTGGGCAAAGGGAAGGGAGGCAGGACGGGGCAGAGGGACGCGTTGGATGGTGAAGCAGGTGCAACTTGGGCCAGGTCCCCGGGGAGCCCTGTACGGTCGTCTGCTTGGAGGCTGGAGGTCCGGGACTTGGTGCCCCTGCCTCACCTCTCACTGCGTACGGGCAGCCCTTGGGGAGGGGCATGATCCTGAACGGAGCAGCTCTTTTCAGCCAAGGGCAGTTAGCAGAGAGGGAATCGGTGGGAGGCAAGCAAGACGTGGGACGCTTGGGTGTGGAATTCTGCAGGGGGGCCCGA